TAAGAAAATCAAGATTGAGAAGAATCTTGAATTCAATCAAAAATTAATTAAACAAGACAAAAAAAAACCATTGAAGATGTATAGAAGAGGATGTTGTCTCACCTGACAAGCAAGTTTTTCCTCTAGAAATGAAAGAGTGGGGAGTGGTTCTTCAACTATAACAAAGCGTCTGTGAAATGGAGGAGAAGAGGTTGTTTTGAAGAGAATAGGGATGGTTATTGATTTTTCAGAGGCAAAGACCATTAAAACAATACATATCCAATAGAATTAAGTTTTGTGTACCATATTTGCCCTTTTATTCTCACTTCCTGGTTACCTTTTTTTTGGATATTTTAGTCATTTGAAATCGAAAGGGCATTCCACTATTCAGATGATTTGATTTGATGTTATGCTCATTTATTTCTCCTTCCAAAATACTTTACAAACTATTGATGCTATGGACAAGTCCTAAATGAACCAAGTGGCCACCTATATGTTGTTAAGGAAATCTCACCTAATGGTGTGGGTTTCGAATCCCACCCCTTTCAATCCCCTTCCTTGAATTCCCCATGTTAAAAAAAAAAAAAAAAAAAAAAGGACAAAATCTATTGATGCTATGTTGAACCAGCCCATCGGGCTAATTGGTTCACCAAGCAAGCCTAAGAACTTGGGCTTAAGTAGGTTGGGAGTTCTACTCCTGCCAATTATTTGATAAAAATTCTCCCTTCCCCCAAACTAGAAATGAATGGAAGTAATAATCAAAAAGTATTTTCCAATTTTCCATTACCTATTTTCAAAAAAAAAAAAAGTAAAATGAATGGAAGTGATAATAAAAAATTATTTTCTAATTTTCCATTTAAGGATGATAATTTCCTCTGAAGCCTATGGTCCCTGCCACGGGGATGGAGATTCTAAGGATATTCTTCTTCGTGGGGCGAGGATGGACACACTTTTTTCCCGTGAAATTTCACGGGGAATTTCCTTCGCCCCGTGGGCACCCATGGGGATCCATATATAATAAAAAAATATAAATTTATATATATTTGTAAATATATTACCAATTACCTTTTAGTCATCCAATTCAATTGGCTAACCCAACTCTACTTAACTTGCCCAAGCCGAGCCCAATTCCTTGTCCAATCCTCCCAAACCCAATTCAATACAATAAGTAAACTGCAAATTGCAAATTACAGTTGCCGACTGCAGGTTGCAGTTTGTTTTTTTTTTCCTCTATGAACATACTGCTGGAGCTAGAGTGCTAGACATGTATAACAATATGTATTTACTTGCTGCAACTGGACATTGCTTTGTTGGATTGTATGTGTAATGTATTTATTTGTTTGAGTTGTTTTACATTTTTTTTCTAATTTATAGGGAAAAAAGGGTTAAATTTTATATATTTGATATTTGACAAAGACTCCGTATACTCGCGGGGACCCATCATTTCTCACGAGAATGGGGATGGAGGTTATTTTTTGCCCTTGCCAAAAATTCCCATGGGGATTCCCATACCCGTCATTAATGAGAATGGGGAGGGGTCTCCACCCCCATGAGGACCTGTTGTCATCCCTATTTCCATTGCCTTTTTTTAAAAAAAAAGAAAAAAGAGAAGTGATATTTAGTTCAGACTGTATATTAAGTGTACAATTCAACTTATAAATTTATTAAACTATTCTTAATAAAATTATTTATTATATTATTTCATTAATGATCATTTAGTAATTTCAGTACTTGTCTAAAATATTAATTAGATATATTGGTGAAAAAAGTGTTTTGTAAGTCACTCTCATAAATTTTTTTGGATGAGTTATCAAAAAACTTATTTTCTAATTATTTTTTTAAAACTAACAATTGGGTTAAAAGTTTCATTCATATAGAACACATATGCCAATTTTTAGATTGATTTAATAGCCTAACTAATTTATTGATTATACAAAATTTAATATCATTAAATACATATTAGTAAATAAAGTTTCATTAATTAAAAGACTAAACCATTAAATAAGGAAAACCCATATTAGACTAAACAAATAGAAAGCTATATATATACGCCATTGTACTGAAATCATTAGTAGCATGTACACCATCTTGGATTCGATTCACAAGTTCCATTCCTTCTCTAAGCAAAGTGCAATTGTGGCAACTAAAAATCATTGTAAAACTGGCAGGCACTTAATCTTTCTCGTGTAAAATTAAGGAAC